AGGTGATTTTTTGAAAATATATGGAGACCCTTTATGACTTTTGTGGAAGGTATGTACTTGTCTGAAGACGACGAGGACAATTAAGTAACACCAGCTTAGAAATCTGGTTTATATCGGAGCCTGTGTAACCAGTTTGTGTCTCTTGCTGAAAAAAGTGTAAAAGTATTCAAATGCAGACGTGTATCTGAGAGGGTGTTTGTTTTTGGTATGGTTTTTGTATTTGTTTATACGGTATGTATAATTGATGAAAATAATAAAAACATTGATGGAAAAAAAAAAAGTCTATTTTTTAAGCTGTACAATGCGGCGGCACTATAACAACTGCTGTGCAATTGTATTATATTTATTGACCTGTACAATATGTGTACTGTGTGTGAGCCATCAATGATTGTATATATTTTAGTGACTCAAATCTCTGTACTGTGTCTCTTCCTTGTATATTTTTTTGTTTTTGCTGATTGTACTTTATGCACCTTTTCCTCCTTTTGAACTCGATGTGTGACCAGTGAATTTCTCCACTGTGAGATCAATAAAGCTATTATCTTATCTTATCTTATCTTATTCTGCCTGTCTGCTGATTATTGGATGGGAAAAGGGTCCAAAAAGGCCAGAAAAGAGCTGCTTTTGCACCTTGATGTCTCTGTGGACGATCTGGTTCTCGTGCAGGTACCGAAGCCCCTCCAGGATCTGTCTGGTGTAGAACATGATGGTGGCCTCCTTCAGAGGACCCCATTTGGACCTCAGCAAGGCCGACAGGCTTCCTGGAGAGAGGAGACCAGGAGTGTCCACAATAGGGTTGTCAAAAGCATCGATACTTAAAAAAGTATCGATGCTAAAATGTTGTATCCGGATACGATACTCATTTTCAAAAGTATCGCCCCTTTTCTCACATTTATTCATGTAATTATTTACGTTGTTTATGGTCATTAACAAGATGTTAGCCTTGCTAGCTGCGGCTAAAGGCTAATAATAACATGCTACCATTAGTCAAGTACATATTAAACTCCGCCCACATCCAAGTCGGCCATTTTGATTAGGTCACCAATAGTTAGATCCCAGGCAAGAAAATCCTAATTGCCTCATGGCAATATAGACATTCATTTAAAAATAGTGAAATGAATCTTTCAAACACTGAATTAAACTCTATCCATAATATTATGTTAAAATAGTGGATGGTAAATAGGTTTGTACAATAAGTCCAAAAAAGTTTAACCAAAAAATACAGTGGTCTGCAAAAGTTTGGGCAACCTTGTTAATTTCCATGATTTTCCTTCATAAATCAGTGGTTCTAAGGATAAAAAAAATCAGTTAAATATATAATATAGGAGACAAACACAGGGATATTTGAGAAGTGAAACGAAGTTTATACCATTTACAGGAAGTGTGCAATAATTGTTTAAACAAAATTAGGCATGTGCATAAATTTGGGCACCACAATAAAAAAAATAACTCAATATTTAGTAAATCCCCCTTTTGCAGAAATAACAGCTTCTAAACGCTTCCTATGGCTTCCTATGAGAGTCTGGATTCTGGTTGGAAGTATTTTGGACCATTCTTCTTTACAAAACACCTCTAATTCATTCAGGTTTGATGGTTTCCGAGCATGGATAGCTCTCTTTAAGTCAACCACAGATTTTCAATAATATTCAGGTCTGGGGACTGAGATGGCCATTCCAGAACGTTGTACTTGTTCCTCTGCATGAATGCCTTAGTAGATTTTGAGCAGTGTTTAGGGTCACTGTCCTGTTGAAAGATCCAGCCCCGGCACAGCTTCAGCCTTGTCACTGATTCCTGGACATTGGTCTCCAGAATCTGCTGATATTTGGTGGAATCCATGCGTTCCTCAACTTTATCAAGATTCCCAGTCCCTGCACTGGCCACACAGGCCCACAGCAGGATGGAACCACCACCAAATTTTACTGTAGGCAGCAGGTGTTTTTCTAGGAATGCTGTGTTGTTTTTCCTCCATGCATGACGCCCCTTGTTATGTCCAAATAACTCAATTTTAGTTTCATCAGTCCACAGCACCTTATTCCAACTTGTCCAAATGTGCTTTAGCATACCTCAAGCAGCTTTGTTTGTGATCTGGGCGGAGAAAAGGCTTCCTCCGCATCACTCTTGCGTACAGCATCTCCTTGTGTAAAGTGCGCCCAATAGTTGTACGATGCACAATGATTCCATCTGCAGCAGGATCATGTTGTATGTCTTTGGTGCTGGCCTGTGGGTTGACTTTGAGTGTTCTAACCATTCTTTGCTTCTGTTTATCCGTGATTTTCCTTGGTCTGCCACTTCGAGCCTCAACTTGAACTGTGCCTGTGGTCTTCCATTTCCTGACTATGTTCCTAACTGTGGAAATAGACAAGTGATATCTCTTAGACAGCTTTCGGTATCCTTCCCCTAATTCATGATGGTGAACAA